AGTAGGTGGGGGGGTCAGTAGGAGAGGGGTGGTCAGTGGGAGAGGGAGGAATGGGGTGAGGTGATTCATAGTGACCTGTTACCCACATCACCAACAGACTGGGAGAGGAGATCACTCACCTGTTCTTCATCAACCGAATCTCCCTCTTTAACGTCGCCTCACCGGCTCGGTTTGTCTGCGGCACAGAGTTGGTGCCGGGGCTGGGACGGATCTGGTAGGTCTGGACATCACCGGAGGAAGCTGGAGGGGAGGGTGGGAAACACAGAAATAAACACACACACACACAGTCTCACATCACTTTGTGTCCGACAGTGCCCGCTCCCTCGGCGCTGACCCTCCCACAGCGCCTGCTCCCTCGGCCCTGACCCTCCCACAGCGCCCGCTCTCTCGGCCCTGACCCTCCAACAGCGCCCGCTCCCTCGGCCCTGACCCTCCCACAACGCCCGCTCCCTCGGCCCTGACCCTCCCACAGCGCCCGCTCCCACGGCCCTGACCCTCCCACAGCGCCCGCTCCCACGGCCCTGACCCTCCCGCAGTCCCCCACTCCCTCAGCTCCGTCTCCCTTCGCCCCATCCGTGCCGTGGGCCCACTCACTCTGCACGACGACCTGGTTGCTGGGGACCAGAAGGTGCTGACCGTCCGCTGTTGGCGTGAGCTGGAGGATGGCTCCCGGCCGCGCCGTTGCCGCGCTGGTCACGGTGAGGGCCTGGAGGCCCTGGATGCCGTCCGAACCCGTGGACCCCAGCTGTATCGTCCCTCCGGAGGTAATGGCAACTGAGGGGGAGGAGAGGGGAAGGAGAGCATAAGCAGCTGGGGATACACTATGGGACAATTTCCCACGGCCAACCCACCTTAACCTGCACATCCCTGGACACTATGGGACAATTTCCCACGGCCAACCCACCCTAACCTGCACATCCCTGGGCACTACGGGACAATTTCCCACGGCCGATCCCACCCTAACCTGCACGTCCCTGGGCACTACGGGACAATTTCCCACGGCCGATCCCACCCTAACCTGCACGTCCCTGGGCACTACGGGACAATTTCCCACGGCCGATCCCACCCTAACCTGCACGTCCCTGGGCACTACGGGACAATTTCCCACGGCC